CTGGTAGATTTTGTATTCACTGTGCTAAATCTGAGTATCCAAACAGCCTAATCTCCACAAAACCTAATATGAGCCAGCTTCAACACCTAGTTTGAGAATAATAAATTATACCAGAAGCACACATTTGGTAAGACAAACCTCCCTACGTCCTGTTCTCAGGGTTCACAGGGCCAGTATTTTCTCAAGAACAAGATTAATAAGCAATCTGCCTTACCGGGTAGTTGATAGGAAGAAAAGGATATTAATATTAAGAAAAGGGAAGGATTACAAGATTTGGAAAGAAATTCAAGAGCCCTGTCCTTACTATTCAGTTTTCTCACTTACAATCTACTTTGGATACTCACTCCATCCTTATCTGCTCCCTCACTTCCCCCTCTTTATTTATGACCACTTACTAGTCAGAAGTCTCTGTAGCAAGCTCTAACCGTCCCGTATGCCAATTCAAGGTGAGTTCATTAATTAAGAGATCAGAGGTAAACCACTTCTGCAATAGCTATGCACAAAGCCCTCGCCACAACACACACACACACACACCATGTGGTTGATTCTAATTCACAGTAATTAGTTAAATGTGACCCCATTCTTCAAAATTTCATGGTTGAAGCATAGCATACAGGAAGAAAAAAAGACTGATATCACTTGGATAAATCACCAACAAACTTCGATATATTTATCAGGTACAGTAGTAGCAAGTATTGTCAGAAAGGTCTTGCATTGCAATGTTATTCAAATTTTGCATCACTACTCATTACTAATACCTCAGGTCTCAGGTAGATGAGATTGGGACAACTCAGGTAGATGACATTGGGACAAAGGAGAATAGTAGCTTTAAGGTTTTTGCAAGTGGATAGCATTGTCTAGAAATGATCATTATGGATACAGCTATGTACCATTGAGTTCCCATATCATTACAAGTCATAGTATCAGTTCTTTTAAAATTCAAAACAATAACAGCTGCCAGCTATTACCATAACACAATGGCTCATAATGACTGTAACTACTACACAGTGGCTTACAACAGTTAAGTTCTTTACATTTTCTATTTCTATTGTTAACAGATTACACAACTGGCACATCAGCATCGCAATTCAACCGCTTTACGAAAAATGTTGGATATGTCTGTTTAACACTGCTCGTGAATGCAATTCAAAATATTCAATAACATTCGGAATTCGAGTAATATATTCACTAGATAAATGGAATTTTAACTAGAATGAAAAAGTTGCATAGAAGAGTAAGTCGATCATAGGTGTGGTGAGTTAAGACCATAATTACATGATTCGAGATGTATTCACTTTCCCTAAATTAGCCTGTAGAAGGAGGCAGAGGGAAAGAAAGAAACGAACCTGGATACTAAAGTCACCGTCCAAGGAGACATTGTGAGACTCCTCGGAGAGGAAATCACCAGTGGTGGATCCGCCGAGCATCATCTGGCGTTCTTTTCGGTCAAGATCGGAAGCGAGAGCAGCCAAATCGAATTCGGAGAAGAAGGGACCCTGCAAGACGGTGTTGACACAATGGACGGCGCAGAGCTTGGACTCTTGAACCTCATGGTACAACATGCCTCCATTGCTGGCCCCCTCCATAAGGTTCCAATTGTAACCTGGAAGACGAAACGGAAAGAGAGAAATAAAACCCTAGAATCTGCGTCTAACTTCTGGTGGTATGCTCTCTCGAACAAAATGCCGCAAGTAGAGAGAGCAAATGGAAATGAATCTTTTGCCCTTTCTCTCAGTTTCTATAATCTATGATGGATTCGAAGTTGAAATTCGCCACGTGTTATTAAACTGTTTCACGCGTGTGCAGATTTGTTCGTAAATATAGTTTTATTTTGGCACATTTACAAATACTCGAATCTACTCCTTAAATTAAAAAAAAAAAAAGTAGAGTGAAAATACAAAAACTAAATATTTTCAAATTAAATGCCACTAAATCGTTATTTAGGTGAAAGTTGTATTTAAATTTGTATGATGTAGTGTTTTATAATAGACAATAAATTTGGACTCATTTATATTTTAGAAAATAGAGTTCTCTCACTTTCTTTTTTTTTTTTGTTTTAAGCTCAATTAATCAAGTGTCCGTTCGTTTCTTATTATTAGTTTTTGAGAAATATAAGTAATATCAAAATCTTTTTTTTTTAATTTATGGTTCTCATTTCCAATCTTTTCCAAAGCATAAATAAAAGCATTATCTTATATTCTTGACTCATAAAATGCAAACTAAACATTAAAAAATTAGTATAACATTAAAAAATTAATTCTCATATACAAAATTAACTTTTTTATTTTAACAGTTTGAATGAGAAATAAGAAATTATTTATTACCCAAAATGTTTTCATTTATTTATTTTTTCAATAAAAAATAAAGAACAATAAACAAAAAATAGTTATCCAAAGTAATTATATTTTTTTATTTATTACAAATAATAGGTACGTTACCAGACAATGAAAATTTATCTTGGTCATCATAAGCATTGAGTTGGATGCATCAACGAGGGTTGGAGAAAAGAGAAACCCATGGGCCTCTACATACATTTTCAACTAGCAAATTTACACGCCTTTAAAATTTTTGAAGTTTTATCATTTTCTCTGTGACTGTCACATCCAACTCTGAACTTTATCTTCTTCTTGTAAGCATAATATGGTGCAAAGATAAAGGAAAATAGGACAGCATAAGCTATCATATTCATAGCCATAGCCAAGCATTTAAGGATGCCAGTAAGCTAAGGTTGAGGCATAACATATCCCATCACATGAAATAGCCCCAAGAACATGTTTAAAACAATCAAGTTTAGGAACACTACTGAAACTTTTGAAGCTTCAATTGTTATTTATAACTGACCTTTATGCTTTAACTCGCAGTTCAACAGCTTACAACAAAATTTAGATTAAAAAAGATACAGCACAGACAATTGGAAATTTACCAGCCATTGATCATCCAAGAAGAGAGCTTCGGCCGTTCTGTTATTGGGATTCTCCTTCTCCTACCGATCTCTGTCGAGATACAAGCTCTTTCAAGCATCTCTCAGTTTCTTTTGTTAACTTTAGATAGCAAGTAAATGGGATTGCTTTAAAATTAGATTCTCAAACAAGTAGATCGTAGTGGTTCCTACTACTGTACAGCAACCTCACAGGTTTCTTGGGTTTTCCTACTCCACCCTTGAACTCCGCCCCATATTCTGCTATAGGAATGAAGCTAGAACCTCGCCAACCTATTGCGTGCTGCAAACAATATTAGGAATTAATCAGGATTTCAATCTTTGATAGCTACAAATCGATAAAATGGGAGTGAACTGGAGAATGTGTCTTCTTTAGCCAAATGGATTCTTGAAGCTAAAAGGGGAAACACCAGCTAACCATGTTCTTTCTACTCTGTTAATTGCCCAAGACAACTCAGAAAATACATTCATGCTCGGTTCTCAAACCAACTTGTGTATGGACTCCTAAGGAGGAAAGTATACCTCATGCTCTGGTATGTAGACAATGATTGGTTGCTTGCAGAGCTTTGACAACACCTGATGGAGATTAAAGATCGTGGATTCATTACGTGATGCTAACAAGGGAACACTCCACATATGCACACATGTACAATAGATAAATAAATTTCTGGGTATAGCTTGTGAAGATGCACTGGAAGAGAACTAACCAATAGCTCCGACTCTCCTCCCCAGAAGTCAGGTCTTTGAATTCGTTGACAGTAACTGAAAATTACTTTTAAAAGTTTCTCATCAGACCCACAAAGGGCATGAGGAAAACGCTAAGCTAAAATGATAACTTCACATAACCATCAAGAATGAAAAGTAAAAGGGAAACAAACTAACCGTTCTAAAGACTCCTCCACAGTAATTGCAATGAGGGCTGCTTCATACTGCCGTCTTTCTTTGCCATTATCACAAATAACTTCTTTCACAGCCATGCGTAGATCATCTGCATTTTTAATCCACCAGCATCAACTTTCAGCTACGCTTATGAGTTA